AGTCAAAGGCAGTCATCTACGAAGGCCCGCAAATCAAGAGCTGACAAAAAACCAGCAGACAACAGTGGTCTTCGAACATCAATGGACAGTTCGTGCTGGGCGCTGTATGGCCAATTGGCATCCCACCGCAAAGGTATTGCAGTATCCCAAGGCATATCTGCCTTCATAATTGCTTCGAACAAAGTTCTACAAGCTCTCGCGCTCCGTCGCCCTTCAAATGAGCAGGAGTTATTCCTCGTGCCCGGTGTTGGGAAGGGCAAAGTGGCACAGTACGGTGTGGCCTGGCTCGAGATAATTGTACACTTCGAGGCGGAAGAGAAGCAACGCAAGGACCACGAACCAAAACAGGAAGCCAGCGATGAGAAGGAAGGCGATGATCCCCCCAACCCAAAACTACAGGACAGAGACCCGAAGCGCAGAAGAATTGTTCGTGTGGGCCGTTCAAAAGAGATTCTGATTCCATCAGGCAAGCCTCTCCCATCTTTGAGTACAGGCCTGTCATTTCAGTTAGGGGAGACAAATATTGCTGATGAACCCTCGCTACCGTCTCGTCCTGAAGACCAAAATGACGCGACTGATAACTCGGATGGCGACTCTATATTTGGACCTCCAATGGAGCTGCCGCTACCGGCGGTGTTAAAACGGAAGCGAGATATAGCCTTACAGTCTGGGCCTGACGGCCAACAAACCCCGCCTCAAAGCGTAACACAGACGCCAGCACTTATATCAGTACCTATATCTACTGTCAAGATAGAGCCGACAACGGAGCCTGTATTCATTCCTAGTTCCGACCCGAAACCGTTGGCAGAGCCAGTGCCAGTGCCAGCATCAACACCAACTATACTCACACCTACACCCCCATCAACAGCAACCCAGCCACTCTCCAAAGTGCCGCTCGACCGACTCGACTTCGAAAGAAGCATCCTACGCAAGAAGCTAGAAGCCTACGGCAAGAGCGTAGTCTGGGCGATGCACCCCAAGCCGTCCGAACCCCTGCTATCTGAAGCCTCAATCCAATGCCTCATTGCCACGCTGCCACGGACGATCGAGGAGTTTCGACGCGTACCGGGCATACAGCGATTGATACAGGCTTGCGAAACCGTGAACAAGGATGTCTGGCAGACATTTGAGAAGTGGACGCAGGGCTCTGGGCCCGTTTCTAGTGCTGGGTCGACGAGGTAAGCGGGATGAGATATGAAGGGCAAGGCTACATATTAGAAATTCTATTTAAAGCTCGGAGCATGGAGTTTGTCGGAGAGATTGTATTGGGATTTTTTTTTCTTACTGTTTAAGGGGAGGTGGTTCTATATATTCCGGTTACGGTATCGTGTAGTGCACTGTTCACCACGTTGGAACTGGTACAGTACATTTCAAGGTTAAAGATGTCTTTACAAAGATACCCTCAGATGACAGGAAGCTACAATGTGCATATGTATGACTCAGTTGCATCCTTTCTGCCCTTTTCGATATTAGTCCGTAAACCGTGACTGTCTCTACTTTCAATACAGGCAAGACGTCCTATACTAGATAGGATATTGGTATGCAATCTGTTTATGGCAGTACCTTAGGTACCTAGGTAGGTGTTGAGGTGTAAAAACCAGTAGTCCGAGCTCAGTGATCACCTTGGAGGCTAGAATACTGGAGATACTGAGTTCACAGGACGAACTGGTTTATCAGGTGGTGTACCTTACATCATTGTCAATTCAATGCAGAACCTAGAACGAGTTCATCAGTGATAAAGTAACCTCATAGTATTGAATTGTGGCTATTGGGCTTTTTGCCATTGTTTGGCAATAATGAGAATCGTAGATTTCTGCGCAGGTGCTACAGGGCAATAGGTAACCCAACACATTACCACTGTACCTACCTATTGTGACTCACAGCAGCCACAAAGCCACAGCCCCCACATCTCACTCCCCAGCCCCACCTGAGATACCTATAAATTCCCATTTCGCCTCCAGATTTTCTAACCTTCTCTTCTTCTCTTTTTCTTCTTCATCCCAGTGCACGGGCTTTACGCGTCACAGTGAGGAGCAATCCGAGTGCGTGTTTTTGCTAGTTGAAAACTATACTATGACCACTCCTATTTGGCTTCGGCCGGGTAGGGAATTTTTGTAACAAAACCTGCTCCTTTTCGTTGCTATCTGTCCTGCGTGGATAGAGGTGAAGAAGAGAGATTGCGATATCAGATGATGGGTATCGAGACGTACTGATGGCCTATCGCGAAGGGTATTGTTGCTATTGGCTTGTGCTCTGTTGCCGGATGCGAGTAGCCTGACATTTGCTATATCCGTATGCGTCTTTGTTCTCTCGTCGTCGCAAGGTCGCAGTGGACAGCGATCGAGTGCCTCGCGCTGTCTAGCATCTCTTCGAGGGTGCTGACAAAGGACGCACTAACCTCTGCTTTCTAACCTAATGCTGCTCATCACGAAGATACAACATGACGATGCCATCATACTCGAGCCTGGCGGTGGTGATGGCGTCTGGCGAGCAACAATTAAATGTCCTTTGGCGAGCTCACCATGCAGCAGCTTAGGATACTCGACCAAACCACCGTAATTCATCTCGCCAGCCTTGCCTCGATATTACAACAACTCGTTCCCGACATCCTAGCTCCGCCCTGCCTCTGAAACGACACCGCGATACCTCGACCGACAGTCTCCACGACAGATAGCACCGCTTTCCACGTCTTAGGGGTCGAGATACGTGCTTTGCCATCGCACCGAACGACCGAAACTACGAAACGCCACGCAATCCTTCCTCCTAAACTTTCTTGCTCTGTATTCCTTCTAAGCAAGCAATTACATCAGTCACAATGCCCAGGAGCCAATTCGACACCATGTCTGATGCTTGGTACCTAGATACTCCCTCGGTCGACACCAACCTTCGGCTTTAATGATACAGTACGGCATATATCAATATATTTTCACGCAATATCCCGTGTTCCTGCATTCGTGGTATCCTTTTCGAGGGCGTCATTTGTCTCTTCGGTACGAATGGCAAGTAGGCCATGGCAGAGAGAGCTCGAGCTCCTTGGACTTTTCCATGTAGCGCCGCATGAGCGCATTCAACAGCAGGGGTTTTTTTTTCCTCCATCAAAACACGTTATTATCCAAGCCCTGCCTCTTGTACTTTGCATGATTCTCGTAATCATAATTGCCTTGAGCAGCCTAGTCAGAACACCCCCTAGCAAACGTTCATTCACCATAAGTTGCCCCTTCAAGCGGAGAAGTTATGCTAAAAGAGCGAACAGGTTCTCATATATTCGAAGCAAGAGGGCAAGGTCAGGACCGAGTAGGTATGGAATGGTGGTATCATTGCTAGCACTACCTCCTTGGATATCCTTCCGCGACCCTATTGTCGACCCTATTCTCTATGCAAGCAATCAAAACCCAAGAAACAGTGCGCCATACGATTATGCAGTACAAAATGCTTTTGCCTTTTTCCCTTTCCCTGGATTCCTCCTAGCATTCACCCATTGTACACCTCAGGGGTATTCTCCAACTCCGCTCCCAGATGTACTGCATTCATTCTGTCAGACCGGGGATTAAAACGTCGTTGCTTTTCTTGGGACTCGAGCTCTTCTTGGGACTCTTCGGCTTGGGGCGACTTTCGGTATTGTCGTCCTCATCCTTGGGGTCCTTCTCTCTATCGTTGTCATCATTACTCTTATGATCATCATCGCAGCTATTCTTCTTATCTGGATGCTTAAGTTAGAATCCAGGATCCAATGATCTGTCTGAGACATTGAAGATATGAGACTTACAGCAAGACGAAAGGCAGTTCGCGCACTTCAGCACCCAGAGTCAGTCAGTTATTCTTTTATAGACGAAATGGGTAGAGGTTTTCGGGAGTATGTAGCCAAAGCAGGAAGTTCCTCTCAACATTACTCACCACTTGTGCCCCTCCTATGCAATCCGCCGCGCAGTTGCCCACGCAGAAGTTAGCGTCAAAGTCGCAGGGGAGGAAGCTGGACTTTCCCTCCTCATTTGGATTAATGGGATACCCGAGAAGATCGCTGACGCTATTGAGGATCGTGTCCGGGAGGTTGTTCAGTAGCTGATCATTGATCTTTGGTATCGGTAGAGCATAAACTGTGATAGCCACTACGGCGAGGAATGAGCTGGAACGCATTTTGGAGGTTATGAGAGAATGACTTTTGAAGGCGTTGCCTTGCTGAAGTGGTAGAAGGGTTGAAGTAGGATGTCTTTCTTGTGTGTCTTTTGGTTTGTAGGAGGTCCTGTCTGTTCTCGAAGATGTTGCTGATCTGGGGATGAGAAGATGGTTCTCTAGTCGGCGCTTGCAGGGACTCTTATACTTCTTTACGGCGGCTCGAAGATAGCATGACAGGGAGCGGCTAGCAAGCTGAGGAATTGCGCGTGGTAGAATACCCTCCGTCGGGAACGCATCTGCAAATATAATGGCCGAGGATTCCTTGCCAGCCACCACGTGGTGCGCTTGTCCCGTGAAGAAGCCATGTCTCAGTCAGCCATCCCTTGTCTTTCAGAGAATCAGAGCCGCAAAGTCGATGGCTGTCGCATTGCGAATCCGATAGATCAGCACTAGACAGATGCCAGTCCATCCAGACTATATAAATCACATGGTTAGTGTCGAAGAAGCGTCTGTAGCCATAGGATTCCAACGCCTTCAAGAGCGCTATCAATGTTCACCTTGTGGTGAAGAAAAGCCGACTTGATGATGACGTCAATGGGTCGCGGTCTTAGAAGGCGCACGCGTCGCGATGGCCTTAATTGATACATTCGCAAGGCTTGGCTTGACTTGACTTCGCTTTCTCTCCTCTCCCACAAGCGCATCTCATCGTCATGACTTGTGTTGAAAATTGACGCGTTAGCGATCCCAGGGAGGGGGCTTCTAGGTATTGAGTTGATTATATGTTCATTCTTGACAGTCTAGGTCGGTTAGCATCGTGAGTCGTAAGTCCCACATTCGCTAACACTTGGGTCCTCTCATTCAGTGGCAGCATACAACAGCCGCAAATCGCCCGGTTAGCTCAATCGGTAGAGCGTGAGACTCTTAATCTCAAGGTTGCGGGTAAGTTACATGTTCAAACACACGAATATATGCCAACCAACCAAAATACTAATAACCTGAATAGGTTCGACCCCCGCATTGGGCTCAATTCCTGATGCCTCCTGGTTAACTAGGAGTAGCAACCACAATTTATTTTTTCCCTTTTCTCTTTTCTTTATTTTTATTTATTTATTTTGGTGCTTATGCTATATAAAATATCAAGAGGGCTATCAACATGAAGAATTGCTTATTTGATTTTCACTTTTTATATCTAAAAACATTCAACAGGATTATAGGTGAAGATAGATAATCATCTTTGCACAGCCTGCCAAGGATTCTGGGCACATAACTCTACGCCACTTTGGACATGAGCTTCGTTTCCATCTATGCTCCACGTGGAAATACCCATCCGAATGAACGGGCTCGTTTTTGCATTTTGACCTCCATTATTTAGGCAACCCTGAATGTCTTCTACCTTAGCTACTGGTGATTCGCCCTCCTGGCAAAATGCGGTCGATTCTTACCTCTCACGCCTCAAGCCGGCCGAAAGAGGGGCATTCAAGGCACCAGCCAGTGCTCAGGAGTGCATTGCCTTGCTCACAAAGACACAGCGTCGGAAGACAAAGCTGATGCGCATCCTCGACCTTCTGCGCCCGGCGCTTGATCCGCTAAAGCGCTTCGAAGGTGCAATCGATGTAGTAGTGCAAGTTAACGCCGGTATCGCATCGCCTATTTGGGGCCCTCTGAGGGTCGTAATCACGGTCTGTCCAGGCCCTCATGGCTGCAATTCAGTGAGAGCTGACCCTGAATCATGTAGCTTGCAGCTAATTACTTCAGTACTTTGGAAAGCATTGTCATGATCATCCATCGCATTATTAGCTCCCTGCAGCGATTCTCCAGATATGAAGAACTATTCACCCAGAACGAGTTGGTGCAAAATGCTATTGGCGCCCTCTACTGTGACTATCTCGACTTCTGCGTTCGGGTCGCTAAATTCTACTCTACCTCCTCACTTAGTATGTTGAAACGAAGAGGATCATTGGAGCATTTGGAATTTTCTGATTGACGAAAGCCAGAGACTTTCTTCGCCAATTTTGAGAAGGACTTCCGTGAGGTATCTGAGAGCATTCAATTACACAGCCAGAATGTTGACTGGGCCGCGCAAGCCGCACACATGGAGGAAACACAGAGAGAGACTGAGAAATACAGGATTGAAAGACAAGGTAAGTGGAGCTTCAATGCCAGTTGTACAGAAAGTATTCTCATCGCATGAAGCACATGAAAGGGGCAACATTCATAGATGGTTATCGCCTGCAACTGTTGAAGACGACTTTCAAAAGCACCTAGGCGAATACATGGACGGCTCCTGCGATTGGCTACACGATGTACCGCAGTTCTCATCTTGGATATCCGTTGACCCGTCACCGCAACCCGTTATCCTTGGTATCGAAGGACGTCCAGGAAGTGGGAAATCTACCATGGCCACATACATCGTGAATTACCTTCGGCGCGAGAAGCGCAACGTGGTTTTCTTCTTCTTCAAGGCAAACCACACAGAGAAGGAATCCATTGTTGGTTTTCTCCGAACAATCATCTCCCAACTTCTTCGGATTGATCATCATAATTACGAGATTATCGAGCCGTATTATCAAGAAAGCGGTCGTGCAGTTGCCGACTTGTTGGCTGAGTTACAAAGAGGGGTACTGTCCATCATCAGGAAGCTCAGGGCCAGTCCTCTGTTTCTTGTCTTAGATGCACTCGACGAATCATCCGACCAGAGGGAAACCCTAGAATGGCTGTTTAATATTAGCAGTTTCTCATCGGACTTGCGGATTCTCTTAACCACGAGACCAACGCTGAGCCTGTCGTTAAATCCGGCCGCTTCCTACTCAGTCCTCACACTAGATACTGTCGAAAGAGGCAACATCAACAAGTATATCAAGACAAGGGTCGAACGCAACCCCATACTCCGCAATTCAAAGCTTGGGCCCGAAGTAGCATCCTACGTTTCAGATGCGGCTAATGGTCTCTGGCTGTATGCGCGGCTGATGATGGACGACATTGACCGATCACCATCAGACGGCCAGGTTCTTAAACAGATGAAAACCTTGCCCAAAGGTTTCACCGAGCTGTACACTCGTATACTAAAAACTAACGAGATATCGTTCACTCCAATCGAGCTGAAGCTTGCACAGCAGCTCTACCTCTGGCTCGATGTGGAGGATTATATGCCACGTTTTCTAGAGGGCATAAATGAATTCCTTGGCTTTCCAATACTCAAACTAGTCCTTCAGTACGCAAACGATGGCGAACCCGTCTTTGATCCCATCGCGACGGCACACAGGTTCTCAGGGTCGCTCATTGAAGTATCCAGGAACCCTGATTCCGACGCTTCGGAAGCCACTTACGAGATAGACTTTATCCATGCCACTGCTGAGCAGTACCTCCATGAGAGCACTCGTCTCCCCATGTCACAACTTCCTCTCACACTTCGCCCCCAGCGGCACCGGTATCTACATCGCGCCATGACGGCAATGTGGTACTTCACTGAGTGCGATCAGTCTCGGCAGTCACTTCTCCAAATGCGAAGAGACCAGAGTGCTGACATTTTGTCTGTGGAAGCATACTTCGAAATGGCCTACGGACTCTGGAATGCTCTACATCTTGTTGATCTTGATATAAGCGACGACGCAGAGGAAACCGCTGAAGTTACGCACATGCTTCAGAAACTAAGCGAGTTCATATCGAGCCGCGCTTGTCTTCGCTGGATCGAGGCAGCGATCATCATCAACTACGAGAACAGATTTCCGCACCTTTTGTGGAATGCCATCCGAGGTTGGGAATCCGGACAGGCAGCTAAGACTCACAGGTTCGAACCATATGCCGCGTTTTCCAGGACTCGGATTCGTTTCTGTCGGAACTACGCCTACGTACTTACGATAACTGGCGTCGGTGGCGGGGATACACCAGTTGACTTGATACTGCAGGCTCGACGCAAGTTCGAAGATGATACTCTAGCGCGAGAGATCATGAAAATAGGGCGGCGTTGGAAGCGCTTGATCTTCGATAGTCCCGAACAGGACAGCCCTTAGGTAATATACTAACGACTATTTTTATGAAGATATTAGTGGCACTACAGTCATAATGTTTCCAGTTAAAGCATATTAGAAATCAGGTAGCTTCAAGCTTGTCTACCAGGTACAGCTGTACTACACATGCAAGATCGTCCCAAATACAAAACATGGTATCTCTATCAGTGTACTTCATTACGAACACTCACTTTCCAAAGTATCTACATACTCCACATTCTGCCCACAAGATCAGCACTCACTCAGTAAAGTGTTGTCTCACGTAGCTAGCTCACACGCAACTAGTGAGAAAGAAGTGAGACTATTTGACAACGGTAATGATAAGGGTTCTTATGCATACTCATTAATTTATACACAGGTAGATTCTTCTCAATTTGTTCTTATTTCCTTACCTGCCTCTTGAGAAACTTTCTTATAGCTCTAAGATGGTATCCAGTAAAGACCGGATCACTACATAAGCGATCTCGGTCATCGTTTCAGAGCTATGGAAGGACGCCCTGGTCCAGCAGCTGAATACGCCGAAAAGATGTTCATAATCCAGAGCTAGGGACTCATCTAGTTATTATCTGTATAGGCTCGCAGATTAACACAAACCTTGTGCGGCTTATTGCTCACTCCCACCGCGCTTCAGCATGTAACCATGCTGTTCGTCATCCAGACCGTCCTTGGGCTTGCCATGTCGGCCGGGTTCGTGGTGAGTTCACTCTAACCCTAACGCTACGTTCCTCGAAAATGCCATCTGATTGGGATTGGACTTGATTTGGGAAAAAGGCCTTCGGGACTTTGATCGCGGATTTGAACCCTAAACGGTCGTCCACGGCTGCGGCGTCGACTAATATCGTCCGATGTTCTCTCGCGGCGGCAAGGACCGCGGCTTTTCAGCCCATCATGGACTTCGTTGGGGCTGATTGGTGCTTCGTGATATTCGGGCTCGTTACTAGTGTTTGCGGGCCCATTTCACTACTGCAGGTCACGGTTGGATCTAAATGGAGGGAGGCGGAAAAGGAGGGCTCTTCTGGCTTGGGGCCAGAGTAGGAAAGAGGTGCTTGACTTCAGCATCGTATCGGGATGTAACATTAGCTCGAAGACACACACTTATTGATGCGGAATGAATTTACATTCAACTCCCACTCTGGACTGGACATATATCAACCTCACAGGAGTACAGTTAAACAACATTATGCTTCTCGAGGCAATGCAATCATCTCACTAACCACGAAGGTAGGTAAAGTATCAACATCATAAGCCAATGTACATGTATTTACCCTATTAAAAAGTATGGTAGGCCCAAATACCAATATATTCATCTTCCAATTTCCACGCCTTTCGAATTGACCCCTTTGTTTTTTTATGTTCAGACAACTAAAATCTCTCCTCACAACGTCTCGTGGAACGCTTTCCGGCGATCCGTCTGCACCTTGGCGAAGTTCTGGGGCTCGAGAACGGCGTTGATGTCCGTTCCGGCAGGAGCTCGTCGCGCGTATGCATGGAGGAATGATGTCGTTGTTGAGGCGGAGCCGCGCACGGCGGGGATGATGCTCGCGCTTCCGAGGGAGAGAAGGACGGAGGTGAGGAAGAGGTTTGAGATTTGCATTTTGGGACTGTTGGAAAATATAGGTGGCGCGTAAAGAATGTAATTTCGCGTGCCTTTTATGTATGTGTATGATTTTGAGGTGCAAGTATGAGAGTGTCGCTCTGCGTCTCTCGATTTTTGTGTGGTCGGTAATGAGTGTATAAAGTGAGCGTTTAGTACGTGGGAAGCTAGTAGATAGTAGAAGTGATGAAATAGAATAGAAGAGAGAGAGTCTGTTAGAAAACGAGAATGAGTGTAGATCTGATGAAAAGAATGACTTGACTAGAAAAATGGGAAAAGAGAACGGCTCGCGGAACTGCGTGGAGAGAATAGGGGACTTTATATACCCCATTGTTTTCTTTGGTAAAGAAAATACACCAACGCAAACCTGGAA